GAGAAATGTACATGAACACCAATGTCACCAGAAAGTTTGTATGGAAAACCCTTTCATGTCAGAAGTTTATTTTTATTGGTAAAATATTAAATAATATACAGAATTAAAAACTGCACTTACACTTCAGAGAAGAAATAAGTCTTGGACAAATTATATGCTTGTTCCTGAGATTCCCTACATTTATTCCAGTAGCTGTGCACTCAGACATTAAAAACTTTTATAATATAATCCTTTTCACAAAGTATTACAAAGTTTCTGCAGCTTCTTTTATTATACACACATACAGACTCGCACTCTCACATGGCTGTACACCATTCGCACACATATGATGGAACCCGATTATGCACTAACGGGAAGAAAAAGAAAACACAAGTCCCATATTTTAGCCTGCAGTGGCAAAACTGTTGAGCCAGGGTATATAGATTTGCATGAGAGTGGTTCACGGGTACCATGGCTGAAGGGATGTTTCAGAACTTCGGCCGAAGGGGCATGTTCCCAAATCCACTGAAGGCAGCAGGAAGATCCGCAGTGACTTTGAATTAGGCCGCAACGCTGATGTTTAGAGGTTTTTCGTTTGAGTTATACGTTGCTGCACAGAACTGCAACTCAACCTGGAGGAAAGCTGTGATTGGCCATATTACTTAACTGGTTTGCCTCTTCCTAAATGACAGATGTCACATTCAACTCTAGAGGAATCAACTCCACAGAAGTGATTGAAGGTGCATTCATGTGCACCAAGCTTCAGGGTCAGATTCTGATGCCCCCCCTCCACTCAGCTGCTTCTTGCTCCAGGAGCGATCCCATTGGCCTTAACAATGGGCGACCCATTGTGGCGTAAGGGGTACTCGAAATGCCTCCGGTATCAGAATCTGGCTCTAGAAGTATGAACAGGAACCTGGGGAGCTCACCAGGGTGAAGATGTTTCGCTTTTTTTTTTATTATTTTTTATTTATTATTAACTCAAAAGTGTCTTGGCAACAATTCTGACAATCGCTTGGAGCACAATTAACTCCAACTGCCTTTGCTATTATTGTGAGGAAGTATCTTAAATAAAAATGTGAAGTGACCAAAATGGCTTACTGTGCATGCACTGTAATGGCCTGTCCAAGAACTCTGAGGGATTTATTTTTTATTATCATCAGGTACCTAAATACATATTTACAGAACAGTGGCCTCAGTCTACTGGGAAATAGACCTTTAACATACTTAGATATAAATATGTATGATATGTAAAACAAGCCCCCTTTACACCTATGTAAGACGACAACTTTAAAGAAGCTCTTCAGGTCTCTCAGGTAGATATGGTCACAAATCCTTGCACTTCTTAAACAGGCAACTCTCTCACCAGAATCCATGGGAGTCTGCCTTAGTCAGGAGGTGAGGAGCTGATCCAAAGTCCACCATGAAGGCCCAGAGGATCCTTTCCATTGATGAGGCTTTGGAACAGGCCCCAAGTGTTTTATAACTGTCCACACTAAGTGCTTTTCTTAAGAAAAACTGTATTTAAATAGGACCAAGAGAAATAGAAACAATAAAACACATGGCTACAGTTCAAACCATTTGTACGTGTTTTGATGTCAAACCAAAGCAGGGAATAAAGAACAGGCTTTTAGCCTTAGCTTTTCCTCTCTCGCCTTTTGGCAGTCTGTAATTATTTGAATCTTCTCCTTTATAGGATTTCAGATAGAGAACGTTGGTGTTTTTTAAATTTGTGTTGAGTGAGGAAAGAAAAACTGCTGAACAATTTAAAAGTGTCAGGGAAAATATTGCACTTGAACAGAAAAATAACCCAAAAATGTTTTCTCCTTTTTTTTTTTTTTTAAACTGAGTAATGTAAGCAATCTTCTATGTTTGCAAGAAGCACGTTCTAAAAGCAAGCAACAAGGGTGATTCTGAGGTCAGGGACCTCAACCCTGGAATATACCAGTAGCAAAACTTTTTTTAAAGCATTTTCTTGAAAAAGGAAAAAAATTATATGACTTTACTTTACAATTTTAAATCTTTCTAAACATTTGCATTAAAAGTCTCCAGTCTCTCATAAAAAGATATACATTTTAGGGAAAAAATTACAACCCCAAAATAAAACGGACTAAAAAGGAAGGCAAATATACAGTATTACAAGTACATAGTAGTGGAGTCATCTCTTTAGGTACCCTAGTTTTGAAAGTGTAACAAAGATTCTGTACCTTAATATTTTTTCTCTCAAATATTTTCCCCTCTGTTTTAATATAAAACTACACTTGAGTACAAAAATATGTAAACAGCCTGTACAGCCAATGAACAAACAGGAAAAAAAACAAACTATCAAAGCTATGGGAGCTAAGAGCTGACCCAGTGTTCAAGCTAAGAGAAGGAGGAGAGAAAGAGAAAACAATAAAGAAAACTTTGCTACATAAAACAGGAAGTGAAGATGTTCAAGCTCTGAGAATGCTTGATAATTAGTCAAATAATGGATCACAGTTTCAGAAGTCTGAACCACTACAAAAATAACCCAAAGTCCTTCCCTTGTTACCGTGTGTTCAGAAATGAACATCCATTTCCAGTAAGTAATGTCAAATCTCAGTAAGTGCATAGTAAGGGATTCAGTAACCTCTGCCCCTCTACAAAACTTTTCTTACTTTGACACTTGGAGGTAAAACTAAATGGCTCAATTCCCTGCAAAATGGCTCCTTAGTACCTACTATGGAGTCATGCGCTCGATTCTGCTTTTGCAGTGGGCCTACATATTTTACAGTTGATTCACAATGAAAAGAAGCCTACTAGTCATTCCTGGATGGGGTGAAGTCTAGGTCACAAATTTAAATGAATACATATTTACCATAGAACCTCACAAATTTGTATTACTGAGACCGACAGAGAGATTGAACCTTACCCGTTAGCAAATAAGGCTCTTATCCAAATTCTGCTTTTGCAGTGGGCCTACATATTTTACAGTTGATTCACAATGAAAAGAAGCCTACTAGTCATTCCTGGATGGGGTGAAGTCTAGGTCACAAATTTAAATGAATACATATTTACCATAGAACCTCACAAATTTGTATTACTGAGACCGACAGAGAGATTGAACCTTACCCGTTAGCAAATAAGGCTCTTATCCAATAAA